TGGAAACCGCAGCCGGTTCCCCCGGGGCAGGGCTTGGGGCAGACGGACGCCCGGGGAGGGGTGTTTGCAGCTACACCGGGGATCCCGGGGGACACGCAGGGGGCGTGTGGTGGCTGAAGGCCTTCCCCCTCCCGGCGGTTCCGTGGTGGAGGCCTTCGGGGCTGGGTACGGGGAATCTGAGCGGCCGGGCAGAGGGTCCGGCCCTGAGGGGCAGCGTGGGGGGGATGCGGAGGTGGTTTTGGGTTCAGGGGCTCCAAACGCGGCTCCTTTCATGTGGCTCCGGCAGCTCCGCATCTGGGTATTACGGAGCGGGTACCGACTTGCTTGTGTGAATAAGGAGAAGTAATGAGGGACTGACAGGCTGTCACGGCTGAGCTGGATCCACCCAGAACCTTCTCCAGATGCACCATCTGCATAATTGGCTCTTGTGCGAGCGTCGGTGAAACCCCAGTCATACACATGAATGTAAACCAGCCCTCGCCGTTCATCTTCTCTGTAGTTTGCTCCAATTTATTTCATCAGCATTTCCCAAGCTTTAGTGCCAAATCTGCTTCCCTGTTTAGATTTTCTTTGAGCACTCTATTTTGTGTCCGTTTGCACGATGTGCTAGATAGGGCTGAAGCTTTCACATATTTTCTGTGAAGGAGAAGAACTGTGGTGGGTTCTGTCCCTGGCTGCCATATTTAAATGCCCCGTAACTTAGGATTTCTGGCTCTGTATTTCGTTGTACAGTTTTAAACGAGGAGGGTGATCTTTGCCCGCCCCCCCCTCACCCCCCCCAAGTCAGTATTTATTACAGAGTGGACTTTTGCACTCACTGTTTAATATAAAACGGGGATTTTAACCAGCCATTAATAAATTTTGTTACAGGATTATTTCTGATGATTTTGTTCTTTTTTTTTTTTTTAATACCTTGATTCAAAAAGAATAAGTGATTCCTTCAATATTCTTCCATTCTCTTTGATTTAAAGTCCTTAATTTTTCTGCTTAAAGCTGAAGACGATTGTATTTGAGCGCGTGCCTGCCTGCCGTAGGCGGCAGTGGTCTTTACCGCAGGTGAAATCTGCAGGTGATTATATTTTAAAAGTGCTTCACAGAGGAGGAGGAGGAGGATCGTTATCCCTATTTTACAGATGGGGAAACTGAGGCACGGAGCTGAAGTGAGTTGCGCGGCGTGACGCGGTGGGTCAGTGGCAGACGTAGGACCGGCACTCCGCTTGCCTGACGTGCGGTTTGATCTCCCTGTGAAGAGCAGAGCCCCGTCCCTGCACCGTGCTGAGCTCCCCGCAGTCCCTCCAGCTGCTGAGCCGGTGGCACTGCTGCTCCCGCTCAAAGGGGCCTCGCTTCTCTGTGTGCAGGCTCGAATATAAATGAGGTTGATTCACTCTTTTTGCTCCTTTTTAGGCTTTTAACGTAAGAGAATTTCTCTTTGAGTTGCTTCCCCCCCTTATTACCGCTTTTTATTTGCAGTGATAAGGCTTCTGTGCTCTTCAGTTCTGAGCCCAGCTGGACAAGAAGGCTGCCTGGCATCAGTTAAGCTTGTAGCACAGGATTGTTTTGGTTTATTTGGGTTTTCTTGGTGTTAGGTAGTGTGTCAGGGGTGTCACTGTTGTTCCACCTAGAGTGATGTCATTTGCTGGGCAGTGAGGTAATGTCTCCTGGGCTCGAGCGCTCTGTGGCAGATCTCCTTCCCAGAGGGTGTCGGTATTGCCACGTGGGATGGTTGGGAACAGACACACGTCTTTGGGTGCAGCAAAGCTTTCGGTTGCGCTTACAGTTTGAGTGCCCACGAGCTTCCACAGCTGAGTTCAGAGAGAAGAATCTGGTCTCTGCGCTTCCCCACTTCACGTGAGAAAAACATCTCGGGACTCTCTGGGAGGCTTCACAGTGGGGGTTTTTGAGATAATTTATTCCACAGCTCAGCTTTTACTGAGCTAAAACATGTGAGAGTTTGTCTCTGCTGAGCCAGGAGGACTGGTCGGAAGACGTTGAATTTCTAAAGCTCGCAGCCCACAGCGGCTGCCTGCGCTGGTGCTCCCGGTCCCTCCAAGTCCAGCAGCGCAGCCAGGCGTGGCCGTGGCACAGCGGTACAGCACTGACAGATCTCTCCCGTGCGTCCTGTGCAGTCCCGAGGAAGGAGGGACGATCCCCTCAGCCCTCCCCGCCACCGTAAGGTTTCCGTTGTCCTCGGCAGGTGAAGCGGGGAGGGTGAGAGACAGCGCGAGGATTTCCTGCTCCTTCTGTCGGGCTTCAAGGACTCCTGCAGCAGCAGGGAGCTCCCTTGCCCGAGCTGTTTGCTTTTTGCCAATCTCGCGCACCGGTTGTACCTTGAGTTCCCTAGCTCAAGGCTAGAGACCGACTCTGTTCAGCTTGCTTTCCAGCAGTTCGTTGAGCTGGAAGAACGTAAGCGGAGCAGTCGCTTGCAGGAAGCGTTAATGGTTTCAGCAATTCATTAATCAACAGAATTTTGAACTTGAGAGCAGATCTTAGCCAGGCAGCCCAGCCAGCTAAGCTGACTCTCTCCTCTTCCTGGTTCCTAGAGCTTGTTTTTGTTTTCCCTTATAAAGCAGTAAAACATGGGGCCCCCTTGTATTAGTTCTTCAGCTCTCATTATAATTCCCAAAGCTTTTGTCCAATTAGCTTCCTATTTTCTCTTGGCACAGCCTTAGTGTAGGGGAGGGGTTAAGGAGGCAAGCTTGTTGGAGAGTTGGTTGTAACCGCGGCTGCCGCAGGAACACGCTGTGATTCTTCCCGTGCAGGCAACGCGGAGAGCGGCTGTGGGACTGAGCACCCCTCGCCAGCCCGGGAAGTGAATCGGAGAGGCCGCAAGCGTAGGCATGGGTGGGCAAGGAAGGGTGGCGTCACCGAGAGCTGAGGGGGCACTTGGAAGCTCGTTGCCTGATAAATGGTGTCACGGCTCTGCGGTGTTGGAGGGACGGGGGTGCCCCCTTTGGGCAGTACCTTCCTGGCTCCCGCTCTGTAGGACAAACCTCTGCTTCGTTCGGAAAACGCTGCACAGCTGATAGGCTGCTCTCGGTTCTGGTGTCTCCAAAACCAGCCCAAGGGGAAAGACAGAACTGATTCTCCGAGTATCTTTCTGTGGATCAATAATCACCAATTCTCTGTGTAACTTACCCAAAATTCTTGGAGTGTTTCACTGAGACTGGCAAGTTCAACGTGTCCTTTTCTCGTTGTTGTTTAGATTCTGTCAGAGGAGCTGTTTTGGTTTGTCCTATCTGCAACGAAAATCCAGTGAGACTGGCAAGTTCAACGTGTCCTTTTCTCGTTGTTTAGATTCTCAGAGGAGCTGTTTTGGTTTATCTTATCTGCAACAAAAATCCAGAGAGAGTGCTGCAGGAGGAGTAGACCTTTCTGGAAGCTTACCGCTAAACCATTGATTAATTTAATTTTTTTGTACAGGTAGAAAAGGAGGCCACAAAGGCCGAGCAAGACAGTACACAAGTCCCGAAGAGATTGATGCCCAGCTCCAAGCAGAAAAGCAAAAGGCAAGGGTATGTGTTTGCCTACGTTACGTGCTTACTGTCAGAAG